TATTTTTTATTATTTTTTGTCGAACCCGCTTTATTCTTTTTCGATTCGTCAATCAGTTAACTTTTTTTCCTGGCACTTTCATTGCTCCTTTTCTTCTAATTCTTTACTTGTTTGTAAAATTTTTAGCCGTCAAATATTGACATTTATACCATCGAATCAAATCTATTAATAATCAATTGTTGTCTTTAATACGCAGTTGATACAAGATGCTTTTTGATTGGTAACAAAACCAAGGCAATGTAACACTACTTTAGTGACATCGTAGATAGCAATAGTAGAAACAACCGTTTTATCATTAAAACATATTTCTTGATATCAAGAAATAATTTTACGTTGTAAAGCAATGGTAATTCTTGATATCAAAAATTCGATTTCGTGATATCAAGAATTCGATTTCAAGAAATATGTTTTAATGATAAAACGGCTTGCCATAAGTCGCGCCAGCGCGCCACAACTCGGGGCTTGAACTCGGCTAAGTGGGAGCCCTGCTTAACTAGACACAAACCTATATTTATATAGGTATACGAGACGCGGACATCTTTCTAAAATAAAAAATAAAAAATGATAAATACATTCGTTGGTGATATGACTGTGTTTCATTATCTCATGGAACGGACATTACACAAAATAAGTGATGTACATGTAACAGGCAATTTTTTTTTTTTTTTACAATCTAAATGATAATCTTTTGCCTGGAATTTATGATAATACTTCTTCAGACAGTTTGAGATAAAAATATGCATATAATAAAAATCACCGTCATTAATTCAATCGAGAAGTTAGTCAGTTAGTTTGTTTCAATTTGTGTTGTTCTGTTTTGTTTTAGCGTTTGTATTTGTTTTTGTTTTTGATAGGTTTTTTCGTTGGTTTTTTTTTGTCAATGGGGGGGGGGGGGGGGGGGTAAGCGGACATTTTAATTTTTTTTTTTGGAGTCCCCCAAAAAATCGCAACGACTCAGCCAGCCGAAAATTCGCTCAGTGGGGGGGGGGGGGGGGGGGGGGGGGGGGGGGGGGGGGGGGGGGGGTGGGGGGGGGGGGTGGGGGGTGGGGGGGGGGGGGGGGGGGGGTAGTGAGCACAATTTTTTTTTTGGTCCTCGAAAATTTTAAAATTTGCACCCCCCCCCCCTTGAGCGCCAGGGGGGGGGGACCAAACCCCCCAAAAAATGTAAAAATCGCGTGATTTTGCATGATTTTTTTCTCAAGGGGGGGGGGGGGGCCGGGCCCCCCGGGATCCGCCACTGATATAAACATTCGAATAAACATATTAGGTTATTCAAAGTCAACGGGAACTTTGTGTCTTTGTGATAGCCTATTATAGTCCCACCACATCCCCCCCCCCTCTCTCTCTCTCTATCTCTCTTTCTCTCTCTCCGTATTTACATCGGCTACTTCTCATCTTCATCTTCTCGACGAAGTGGAACATTTTATGCTCCCCATAAAGGATGCAATGGGGGTGTAATAAATTTGGGAATTAACCAAACTTTGGGAAGGCTTATATACTTTCCAAATAAATGGTATGAAATACAGAATTTAATGATTTCGTCCTTCTCAGTAAATCTATTTAGATTAGAAAATCTTCAGGTGGCTTTAATAAATCTTCCTTTGGCCGGTTTTTAGGTAAGTGGCTGAGGGAGAAATGAAATATTGCCGGTGAGTCACCAACGCAAGGACAGATGACAATACAATTTGGGGGAAATGAAGAAGAGTTGAAAACAGACGAATTTGAAAATAGCAGGCAAAAATCACCATGGAGATTAAAGGATAAGAATAACGAATAAATGCTTAACAGTTGGTGTGAATTTGAATAGACACTGTTTCAATGTTTTTTTCACCATTACCAGAACTGGAGTTTATCTTTAACATACAGAAAAATTTCGAACTTAGAGTGAACATATTCGTTGGAAAGAACGACATTGTAAAAAGAGATCATCAAGATCCCAAAGTCTATATCTACATTTTCCAAAAGCGATGATTACATCAATCATTAACATTAATATTAATATTAACATTTTGTTTTTAATTTTTAATTTCTTTGCCTGTCGAATACGAAATACTTTGATACTATCGCAGCAATGTTTCAAGACTCAAAATGAGTCTCGCAAACTTTTATGAAACTTGTTCTGAAAGCTCGAGTGTGGTATATTAGTTTGTCATTAACAAACTTTCAAGAAGCCTGTACTTTGTAAACCTTCGTTGTGGTAAAAGACATTTCTCACAAAATATTAAACCTCAGACGCCGAAACCTTGAAAATGGTGGTTTTCTTCGTTATATTGACATTGCTAAGTGTTGCGACTATTGGGTACAACATTTATCTTGAAAACTGAAGCTTAAAGGCAAAAGTGACGAGAGTTCTGTACAATGTCAAGCAAAATCGATGATAGGGGCTTATACTTTGTAGGATTTGGCCTTTTTTCTCGCATAATTCCGGAGGTGACTAAGGCATTAAAACGATTTAACACTCACTCCCGTTTAATTGACTTTTACATGCTCTTTACCAATTGTGGCAACATCTTCCTTTGATCATACCGCTTAAAACGTCTTTTCCCGAATCCGTTTTTCTTCTATTTGAGTATCGTTTTTATGGGAAGGGGCTGAATTGCGAAGTGACCGTAATATCCCAGTCACTCTATAAGTGGTGGACAGAAGGTAAGGTATCAATTGCGGCTTAATAGCTTTTAATCCGGTTCTCAAAAGATCTGTTTGGTTGAATATTGGACAGGAGTGGTTGATGAGTGTATCAAGTTATTATCCGAGGAAGGAATTAAGACCCATTTAAACAAATGCGACTTAGTGGGCGGTCGCTATCGTCCCTTTCTTCTTTTAATTCTTTAAGAAGAGAGGGACAGAGAAAGCAGTAAAAGCTCCCCATTTATCGGTAGCACCCATCGGAACTCTTTTCTTTCGAGTCTCAAAAGAGTCGATAGGTTTAAAGGGGTTGTTTTCTAAGCGAGAGAAAGAAAGAGAGAGAAGGGGAGTAGAGAGTTTGGAGGCGAATAAGCAAATGAACACTTTTAGGCTATCCATTCTATTTTATGTTCTGGGTCGTTGTTCTCTCTCTCTCTTACACCCTCTGCTCCCCTCTCATTCTCTCTCCCTCCCTCTCCCTCCCCCTCTCTCTCTCTTTCTCTACCACTCTTGGTACGCTATGCCTAATTTCTCTTTTGCAAAATAAAACGTTTCTCGAGTAAAGTGAGCGGGCTTGGTCTTGTGATTGTAACGTCAAGCAGAACAATAACTCGACTGGGCTATCTATTGCAGTACTATTGTTGGGTTCTTAGTGGTTGTTATTGTATCGTCTTCTGATATTGCTAACTGAAGAGCGCGGTTACGACTCCTTTAGGGGTCAATAGTCTTTACTATTAGCCCCTGTTTAAAGTCAGACTAATCTACAGGCCATTCTGATATTTGGAATATGCTCACTGGCAGAAGAAATCTATTAACATTTGGGAAGCATCATTGTTACTGAAAAACCATCTCATTTTCACAATAAACTTCGTCCGAATATATTCCAATTTCAATTTTATCATTAACTTGCAGATGAATAAGATACAATATTGTAAAGTATGGAAGGTAGTAACAACAATGAACATATTTGAACTATTTGAATATTAATTCAATCAACTTTACTTTTCATTCAAGGCATGATACTGTATTATGTGAAGGGGGAAATGCAACCTTTCACATTTCTTCTTTACCGAAAGGTTTTTCTAGTCATATTCATTAGAATATTCTCAAGTTCTACGAATACTTAATGATTGATATCTTCGCCATTATAACTTTGCCATCACACACAACTATTCTAAAATAATTGGTCTAACCGATTTAAATACTTGGTTTGAATACTAGCACTACCTTCACCTCCACCACCGACACCACTACTACCACCACCACCACCACCACCACCACCACCACCATCACCACCACTACCACTTTCACCATCATCGTCAACAGAAACACCATTGGAATCATCGGCAACATCAATAATATTAAGTATTTGACTGCCATCGTCACCATCACCACCACCACCACCATCATCATCCTCAACATCACCATCATTGACGATATACTATCGGAGAATTTCCATCATCTCTGGAAAACTTCTCCACCTTCTTCACAGATACCAGCAGCTGAGTGAACGGGAGGGGGGGGGGGGCAAAACCAGCTACCAACCATCTTGTTTCGAGTCTCGAATCCGAGTCTAGCCCTGTTGTGTCGACTTCACCCCGACTTATTTTCTCCGAGGGGAGCCTTGTAGCCTAAATTGACTTAACTTGCAATATAAGAGCGAGGGAGAGGATAGTATGAATAGCAGTAAAAACATAACCAACATCGTAGAAAGGATCGAATCCAAACGATCGCGGAAAACTGGAGGAAAACAAAACACAGCAAAACAAAGAAATCACACCCAACTCTTTTGACTGATTTTGATACGCCTTCAATCTTCGAGCGGTCGCCCAGATTTGACACATTTTGAGGGATGCTGCCAATGAACACACTCTCTTTTAAACTGACTCCAAGCAAGCAAAGTGAACTTGTTAATTCACGAGTCTTAAGGTCAAACTCATACACATCGCCTTCATTTCTCTCCGTCCAAGTTCATACAAATAAAAGGCTGGTGGAAAACACTGAATAAAGGGTCTTGCTTTCTGGAGATGTGCTTTTGCGTGTGTTCCTTTGTATCATTAAAAAAAATATTGACGACTAAAATGCTAAGAGTGACGCAAATTAATCGTTCATTCAGATAGCTTTTTATTTGAAAACAAGGTATTTAATTTACTTCGAAAAGAATATGGTTACTAAAGAGAGATTGCGCATATTTAAAAATTCTTTTAAATTATTGTTTAGATCTCAATTTCGCAATAGCCTTGGGAATCCGTATAGGCGCTTTAACATGTGCCGACTTGCCTTGCATTTCTAATTGTACATTTTATTTTACAATTTCACATTTCACTTATTACACGTGTTATAAGAGGGATATGCATCACAATACCTGTGTATCGTTTTGGGAAAGTACAATTGTATGATTTCTTCATATGTTTCAACATGTTCCTGACACTGATGTCTTTGACTCTGACCTTGTATTTGTAAACCTATCAATCAAAACTGCAAAACGATTTCATTTTGATCGAACTTAGCGAGTTTTATATTAATTTAACGACGATTAATACAAGAATAGGGTACCATAAACTTATTTAAGTCATTATAAAGTCATGAATGACAGATACTGGGGAGAACATCCTCGCATTGTTTGTCATCTCATGAGCAAGCAAGCTCTCCGCTCGACTGACGAATGTCTGCGTGAACTTTCCCTCGCAGACGACTGCTGATCGGTCGGTCCGCGCGTTCATTCACTTCACCGCCTCTGCTCCAGAAACACCGCGAACTGCTCTCGCTCGTTTATTCTGGACCGTACCTGACCGTTCGTCGTAAGTCGAATCTTCTGTCGTGCTATCGACTCTTTTTCTTATTCTGGAATTTTTTGCCATGAAATCGTTTCTATCGCTTCTGGAAAATAATGTAATCAATTTTGTGATGCAACTTTTTCTGTAAATTTTGGCGATTGTGGAAAGTTTGAAGCGGTCTACTTATCAATCGGAATACTCGGATCAAGATATCGCTGGACATCAATAATTTTTCTTCACTTGGATCATCAACATTTTTGTATATAAGAGTTGCGCTTGGGCTTTAAACTGGATCTGTAAATTGGAATTTAACAACGTCTTTCCAGTAATCAAGTGTTCCAAATCTTCTACAAGTACCAAGTTTGATTCTGTTGAAGTTAAGGTCTTGTAGACCTTTGGAATCTTGTGGATTGTTTTTGGAAGATTTTGACTTCGTCAAGGACAAGAGTTTGGCGGCAAGATGCAGACAACTTTGATGCATGTTATTTTGACGTCGTTGTTTTTCCTCCACACATGTGTTATCTGCGGCAGTGCCAGTAAATGGTTGTAAGTATCCGATTTGAAGTGGATTTGTTTTTAAACAAATAACTCAAACTTTAGTGGGTCAAATTTCCTTTGCAAAATCATAATGTTAAAGTGAAAGGTCTTCTTCTGCGTACAGATGAAAACAGTAAAATAGCATGCGTAATTAAGGTTGAAATCAAATCTAAAGAATTGCAAGAGACAAGCTAACGAAAAAGTTTATCAGTTGCACTTCTATTTATTCGAATGAAAAGATTGGTTTTAAACCAAATATTAATGAATCCTTGTCGCCATTTAAATTTCTCTGACGTTTTTTTTCTTTCTAGATGCACATTAGTTCCCGCAAGGTGCAAACAATGTTCATGAAGTATGTTTGAATTTCAATTGTGCAGATGAGTCTAAGATGCAAAATACTTTGAAGAACACATTCGTGAAGATTTTAAATGTTATTACATGCGTATTTTCACTTCAGCTAGCCTAGTTTTTGTTTTTTTTAACTGAGAGCGCATGAGTTTTTGAAAACTGAAAACTGCTACAGTCCGGCGGATACATTTTATTATTAGTAGACAAGATAGTCATAGACGATTTTTGGTTCATTACAATTGAAATACGAATGTGAATTTCATCCCATTGTAAAAGGCTAAAACTTGAAGTATTTAGTAGACAATTGTAATCCGGAAGTTGATTGGGAGAGGGGGGGGGGGGGGGTGCTTGGGCAGCCGAATGCATCTCCGCATTTCACAGACGGTCCATCGCATACAGGTCGGTGGGGCTGGGACGGGGGAAGGAGTAAGCGCACATTATCCACCAGACAAGGAGCTCAAGACGCTCCAATATTACCCCAGCTATGCTGTATCGGCTGCTAATTTCGGTGCTCCTAAATAAATGAACAAATACATGAATAAATAAATGAATGAATTAATTAATATATATATATTAAATTCAAAGTTATATAATAGGAGAAAGAAAATAAGAATAGTTTCATACTGATAAACAGTCCGGCAGCCATCTCGATATACAATGTTTTATGGTCTATATATATTTAATTTTTTTTAATTTTTTTTTATTATAGTTCCTTAGACCATCATAACATGCTTTCAGAAGAAGTTAATGAAATGTTTTGTATACACAAAACCCCTTTGGTAAACAAAATGATAGTCGGTGAACATAATGTTGAATCGTTACGAATAGCGACATGCACAAGACATCAGGCGATAAATTGAACCAATAAGGGGCGCCTAGCTCCTCATATCTCCTTGACTGAACTACCACCAGCTTTCGGTCCATTACTAGGCATCAAGAAGATGGCATTTCCTTATTATAATTTCGGGGAAACTGACAATGGTATTTGAAGGAGCTAACTAGAATAACGAGTTTTAGATGGTAAAAGCACAAACATTTAGTGTTTATTACAGAGGTGTATCGAGGGAGGGGGGGGGGGGGGCACAAGAAGCATACAAATCAAACAAGCACCAAAAAAGAAGAAGTAGAAAACCCTAATCCAATTAACGTAGGTCTCGAAATCGCCGACATGGCCCCCCCCCCCCCAAAAAAAAACATCGCAGGGATAGTACACACGTGTATGTAATAGTGACAGATAAATGTGCCCCCTATGTTCGCTGGATACGCCCCTATGTAAGGTATAAGAGGAATCCAATCATCAGGGCATTTTTTTTTTGGTGGGGATCCTTTTTTCCTTTTTTTTTTGCGAGGCAATATTTTGAATGCCAAACAGATAAGTTATGCGAGGGTTTGTTGCATTGATACATTACACTCTCCTCTAGATGGGAAAGTCTTTACTTTAGAAAAACATCTCAATTCATAATTTAGCCTACCGAAGTGTATTTGTTTCTAAATCTGACTTAAGATTTTTCTTTATAGAGTTAGTTAAAAAGATTTCAGTGACGTATACAGCTTCGGGCGAAGCTGGCAAAAACGCCCTCCTCATGAACCGCGAAGCGGGGCTGTAGCCCCTCCCCCTTCACAGCTTGCACATGAGTATTGGATTAATCATGCCTATTGAAATTATAAGACTCAGTTAGAATCATCGGAAATAGCACGTAGTAGTTATTTGAAGATTATCATTCAGTATAGTGCATTGGAATTAATCTGAACGTACTTACTCATTATTGCAAAGTAATTAAATGTTTCATGAAGAAATGCAGTTTCATGTCCTAAAGTTGTCACAGTGCCAAAACAGAAGTGAGAACACAATGACATTTTTTCACCACTTACTTCCGAGTTAACAATTCGACATCAATCATTGATTTGACGCGTTATTTATCATTTTTTCCAAAACATAATTTACTCGAGCTATATGGCTTCGGTATGACATAATTTATTATTATACTTCTTGAATTGCGGTTTTCTAGATTCTCTCAAGATGTTGATTAAAATAAAGTTGAAGTAGACAAATTGTTAAGATTAAAATTATAATCCAGAATAAGAGGACAGCAATGGGAAACTTGGATTTAAGATACCCTACCATTGTTCTCTCATTTTCTTTCGCATTATTATAATGATTCATCAGATAGGCTAGTCTGAAGGAACACAAATACAATTGAAACCGGTCATAGTGAAGAAGCGAACTGTCAAGGATTTTAATTTAAATTGTTTTAATCATTATTTGTAGAGACCTATTACTGTGACGGAGGATTATCCCAATTTTATTATTTGTTCTATATTTAAAAAAAAAATGCAAATATACATACATAGGCCTATACCGTATTTCAAATATGTCTTAATTTCTCAGAGAATGACAGAACAAACCTTGCTTAGCCATCACCATCCCATCGTTCTGTTTGTTGAGTGAGTGGTGCCTGGAAGGGGGGGGGGAGGGGGGTAGTAGTAAGGGTTATTGAGCGTACCTTCTATTTTGACAACATAATAAATTTGAAAACCCGTATACACCAGACAAGGTTAACAGAAATAAAAGTTTAGTAAAGATGTTTGTTGTAAATGATGAAAGTAGAATGCATAAGAGTGTCACCAAATTCCATAATCTATTTACAGCAACGTGACACAATTGAGCTTTGTTGCGCGGGAGTACGCGGTCAAGACCACCTCACAAAGCATTAGATTTTGAGCGCCAGACAATCCACGTCAATTTTATGGGCGGCCCCTGAAATCCACCCCTAAACCAGAAGAAAAGGATTGTGGTATGTTATGAAAATACCGCACAAAGCCTCTAGCAAATGAAGCCATCTAATCGAGTAATACAATTTGTAAAAGAAAGCTGATTGCTTTATAAAAACCACTTGTATGACAGCGAAGTATACAACCCAATATGTCAGTGAATTAGGTCTTCATTTCTGATTGATTGTGTAGAAATATGGCAAGAAGGATATTGTGGGCAAAGAAATCATCGTATGTACATGTATATTCTATTGTATTACAACTTCACCAGAGTCAAAACGTTGAAAATATCGCTCAAAAAATAATCTATGGAAAATATATCTATTTTGTCAGAAAATAATAAACTAGTCAAAACTATGGAAATTGAGGAGCTCCTTTCCCAGTACAGAAGTATGTACCTTGGGATTTACAAGCTAGATTTGAGCAGGCGTGGTGGGGTAAATATACTAATAATACTATTAAATTATGATATGTAGGTTATAATATGATTTAGATACAGTTAAACATGACGGAGAAAATGAGAGGCAAATTTCAACCGCATGGGGTTGGCGAACCCGATCCGATTATTACTCTCGATACGGTGATACGTATGTTACCAATTAGCATTAAAGAGCGACTCCGAACCGAGAAGAATTTGTTTTCAGCAAAGAGCAAAACTGTTTTTACAGGGTAAAGCAAAATAAAGCAAAAAAGAAGGAAAGAAACAAATACAAATACACAATCTTAAAACAAAACATTACAAAACAAACCAAGGCACAACCGAACAAAGTCAAATAAACGAATCAAACAACCAAATCAAAGTCTTTCCCAGAGATCATGGAAAATAAAACTGAATGAAGAAAAAAAAACTTGTCATATCAGTGCTCGTAAGCTCGACCTATAGTAGTACATGTAGTAGCTAATAATAGAAATGTTGCTGTCTCGTAACGGCAAAAGAAGTATTGAATTTGTTTTGACTTTCCTGAAAGAACTTCATTGTTTTCTTAATTCTTCTTCGTTTGAATTAATCTATCATTCCCTTACCCGTCTTTTCTGATTTTTCTGACTTTATTTAAAGTTTTTTAATGGTTAAGACTAACTTATGTCAACAAAATTACCGACTTAGTTTTTTTTAAATGTTTGTAGAGGAATCCAAGGGAAAATAATGTTACATCAAGTTTACTTTGTAAATGGTGACTATCGTGTAGTGGAAAATGATCGTTTTTAAACATTCTTACCTTACATATTAAATCATGAAATTCAGAAATACAGTGCAATGTCTATGACCTTGGAAAAGAAGAAAAACGTTGGCATTTCCTTGAATGGGCTATATATTTAAATTGAATTAATGACGCTTCGTCCAGACAAGTCTGTAATGTGGACACCTACCCTTGAAATGAAACATTTATTATGTCCATTCCCCCTACCAGGATACTGTTAACACATTATATTACAATGCAAAGCTTTTAGCTTGCACCCCTCCCTTAATGTAATTCAAATCTCATGAACTTCAGTAGTTTTCTTTTCCTTTCCTTTTCCCTTTTATTACATTGTGCAATAGGCTAATAGAGTAATAATAACTGCCGACCAGTCACAAGATGAATTTCTAGCTTGTGAACCCGAGTTAGGTTGTGCTGGGGATGTCCGGAGGAGTTGGTGGTGCTGGGGGGGGGGGGGGGGGGGCTGCTTGGGGTACTGCAACGTCTGCACCCAAACTTTGGAATGAAAGAGAACCAGAATTATGCGATGACTTATTTATTTCGAGGGTTAAAATGGTATGGAATTACTCTGAAAGAATTCCTCGACCTCGAGTTGTGTTTTTAAAAAAGTTGTTTGCAACATGGCAAGTAGGAACAAATATCTTGTTGGCCTACTTCTTATTGAATTAATTTTCCCTTACAAAAACGTTG